GGCCGGGCTTGTACACGATGTCGTAGTAGAAGTGTGTCTCGAGGAAGTCGATCCATCGGACTTGTCGCCTGGAGAGATTTGGTTGTGTCTTCAAATATTTTAGGCTGCAGTGGTCGGTGTAGACGGTTGTTCTTCGTCCTTCGAGATAACATCTCCACGCTTTGAAGGCGATGACAATAGCCAGGGCCTCTTTGTCGTGTATCGGGTAGTTTAGTTCTGCCCCGTGCAGTTTCTTACTAAGGTAGGCGATTGGTTGCAGTCCATTCCCCTGGTCTTGCATCAAGACTGCTCCCACTGCCTGGTCGCTGGCGTCAGCTTTGATGACGTAGTCGCGTTCGGGATCTGGCAAGATGAGTATTGGTGCGGACGTGAGTGCTTGTTTCAGCTGCTCCACGGCTTCCTCGTGTTTCGGCTCCCACTTGTAGGGCGTGTTCTTCTTCAGCAGATTCGTGAGTGGTGCTGCGAGTTTCGCGTACTGTGGCACGAACCTGTTGAAATATTAGCGAAGCCTAGGAACTACTGCAACTCCTTCACGTTCTCAGGTGTCTTCCACGTACGTACGGCTTCGATTTTCTTGGGGTCGACGTGAACTTCTTGAGCGCTCACCATGTGTCCGAGAAACTGGACCTTCTCAAGGGCGAATTCGCTCTTGGACAATTTGACGTAGAACCGTTCTCGTTGAAGAATTTCGAAGACGCGTCGCAGGTGTTCGACGTGTTGCTTCATGTCGCGCGAATAAATGAGGATGTCGTCGAGGTACACTACCACGCACTTGTCCAAAAGTGGGCGTAGGATGCGGTTCATCTCGGCTTGTAATGTTGCCGGTGCGTTGGTGAGTCCGAACGGCATGACCAAATACTCGTACGATCCGTACCGAGTTTGGAAAGCACTTTTGTGGATGGAGTTGTCCGCCATTCGTATCTGCCAGTATCCGGACCGCAGATCCAGTTTGGAAAATTCCGTAGCTTCCCGAAGCTGGTCAAGCAGGTCATCGATTCGTGTTATCGGATATTTATTCTTGATGGTCTGCTTGTTGAGAGCTCGGTAATCGATGCACATGCGCAGGCTTCCGTCCGGTTTCAGTGTGAAGAGCACTGGGGCACCGTATGGCGAAGTGGATGGGTTGGATGAGCCCTTTTGTGAGGAGATACTCAATCTGTTTTTTCATATCGGTCAGCTCCGTAGGGCTGAGCCAGTATGGTACTCGGAAGGTTGGCTTTGAACCTGGTTCCTCCACGATCTCGTGTTGATGCGTTCGGTATGGCGGTAGCTTGTCCGGATGGTCGTCAGGGAGAATGTCTTGGAACTCCTTCAGCAATTCCTTGATTTTTCCTGGAGGTTCCGAGATCTTCTCTCCGTCGGTTTCCACCTTTGTTGCTATCGCCAGGAACCCGGTGTCGGTTCGCTTCATGTCCTTCTCGAATCGTGCGAGTGTATCGACTAAGGATATCTCCTGTATCGTCCAAGTTGGGTAGCTGGACTCTCCTTCCATTGTTGTAGATGCTTGCGGTGCGATTTACCCAGTTGATCTCGGGGTTGAATTGTTTTAGGAAGTCTCGCCCGAAGATCAAGTCAAGACCTTTGATGTTGGTGATGGGGAGTGCATATCTCCAGCGCAGTGGTCCGATTTGTAGGTGTAGCACTGCTTCGCCGTGTACTGGTAACTTGCTGCCGTCCACCATCGTTGCAGAGAATATTGAAGGCTTGTACTCTTCCCGAAGTCGGTCGATTGCTGCCTTGTCGCAGACGGTGTGCGATGCTCTGCTGTCCACGAGTGCTTGGAGGTGTTGTTCCTTGCAGATGACCTCGAGCACGAGGGGCGGGCGTTGCTCGGAGTACCCAAAGAAAATTTCATTAATAGGGTCATAGGGTACATCCCAATATTCCGTACACACCTTTTCGTTGCTATTTACTCCTGAGCTGGCAGCTGGCCGAGGCTGCTTGGAGAACGGCTCTTCTCATGGGCCCGGAGTTTCCTTGACGACTGTGCGCGTCATTGATGCCGAGTTTGCTGAACTGGATGCATCCGGAGGAGGAGTTCGGGGTGTTTTCAGCTTTTTGTAGACCCCCAGCTTCCTCTTGAGCTGCTTCAGCTCCACCGACGTCTTCCCTGGGGAACGGGTAGTCGTTGTGGGCTGGTGTCGGGAGAGGACGTTGACTCCGTGGAAAGGTCGGCTTCTTTCCACACTCCTTAATTTTTTCCCCAAGTTGTCCGGTACCGGTATAATCTCCAAAGTTTTCTGCTTCTTCTGGAGTCCTTCCTGAATTTTCTCCAAGGCTCTAGCCCCTCGAGAATCATAAGTTTTCATTAAAGCATCTTTATAGGATAGCTTTAACGAATCCTTATAATTTCTTGGGTCTTCTAGGAGTTTCCCCGTCTCGGCAAAGTCTTTTTTCGCGGAGTCGGATTTTTTCTCGGCGATTTTCTCTGGCGAAGACTGGTCGTGGGGTGGAGATTTTCCCCCATCATTTCCTCCTTCTCGCGTCGAATCAGCTTTATCGAAGTTGATTTTCCTGGAATCCCGCGGCCGCTTCCGGATCTTTTCTTTTTCACGAGCTAGATCCGCAATTACTGGCGACTCCCCTTTTTTGTCTTCTGATTGGCCGAAGGATTTCCGCCACTGTTGCGTGCCCGATTCTCTGCTCATGCTGCTTTCATTTTGTTGCAGTCGAATATTCAATGGCCCGGCACCCCGCAAAAATCACACGTGTAGTTGGTGGTTTTCGGACGTGGCCCTCCGTCGAACCTGTCGATTTCCATCGGGTCGGCGAACGCGGTGTGAGCCGAGCGGTCGCCCTGTCGCGTATTGCCGACGTGCGTCCGTCGTATCCCGGCGTTGACCATGTCGAAGCGCTCCGCTGCCGAAACGACGTCACTGTAGTTCTTGTAGTTTGGCGCTGCTACCTGTCGTTTGACTTCGGTCTTCAGCCCGGCGAGGTAGGACTGTACTTTTTCCCCTTCGGTCAGGTCGGGAATTCGGTTATAAAATTCCTCCATTTGCTGCGTGTACTGCGCTATACTCCTAAACTGTCGATGGCGATGGATTTTTTCCCGGGCAAGGAAACCCGAATTTATCGGTTCGAAACATTTCAGCAGGTCGGTGCGGAGCTGCTGCCACGTGGCTTCACCGTGGATGAATGTGCTGTTGCCGCCAATCCACTCGAGCGCCGGCCCTTGCATCAGTGTCGCCGCGAGTCATACGCGTTGACCGTCCCAGGCAAGCGAGCTCCATCTGACGCGTGCGAAGTACACATTCCCATCCAGCGCACTGTAATGCACTGCACAAGCACACATTCCCATCCCACTCTATCCGGACTCTGACGCAGTCCTGCCATGCGTTGCCTTGTGCTTACCCTTTCCTCCACCATCCCCACACACCAGGTGCAAGAGGGTATAGGGGGGCACGTGATAGTGGACGTCAACTACTTCCCCTCCTTCAAGGACGTGCCGGACCACCTGGCCATCCCTGCATTCCGGGCGGCTTGCGCCTCCAAGGTCTTTTAGGTTAGGCATCGCAGAAGTCGAGGTGCGCTCGCCAATGGCCATCCCTGCGTTCTGGTGAGCCTGCGCGTCACATGCCACTCTTGTAGAGTAGTGCTGTTATGGTGGTACTGAACCGTAGGACAAGCAGCAAGCACTTGGATGTTGGACCTATCAAAGTTAACGAATGAATAGAACCAAGGCATACAAGGGAATGTAACATAGTGGGTTGTACTCTCTAAGGCATAACCCTATGTGGTCTATAAGAACATACAAAGATATGTTTGACACACCCCCTGTTGGAAATACTGCAACTTGAGCGTTTCTAAAGTGTAACACTACACTCGAGGAAAGTCGTATCGAGTACGCGAGTCAACGGAGGATACATTCAAGCCTGTGGCTGCTATGCTTTTGTTGAGTAGTTCTTTGAATAATTCGTGTTTGTATCACGCAGACCCAAATACACTCTGTATTCGAATTTTCTACGCGCATTTGAGCTGGCTGAGTGACTTTCCCCTGAAAGGCCGCGAGATTCTGTTTCCGAACTGGTTTTCGACACTAGCTTGCGATGACTTTCGACGGACAGATAGTCTGCAGTATTTCTGTTTTTGTGCCCGTAATCACTGGTTCATTTTTGTATACTCCTTTCCAACTGCGAATCTGCGTGTGTCCACGGAAGTAAGCCGGGAGTCCACGAAAGTATTGACGAAAGTAAGAAAAACTTCGATGTGGTGTCCAAGAAAGTGTGAAAACAGTCCTCGGAAGTAATTTCTCCACATAGAAGAACTCCACAGGGCAGGCCCAGAAGGGACACTCTCTTGCTGTTGCAGCGGAGGGCTAAGTGTCAGCATTAGGGGGAGTCCAAATAGTTTACACCCGATTCATTTCGTGAACAGTAACCCGATTTGAACAAATAACACCTTGTTTAAGGTTTCGCCAGGACACGAAAGAAAGTGACGCGTAACGTGGGACACCCTTCACATGCGTCGGGCCATGTACCAGATTTCGGATTGGTAACGTAAAAAAGCCGTGAGGTGGAAGATTCGGGGACGGGGTTCCAAGTGTGTCGTGCCTGAATGTCGCCCCGCCGGCTGTGACGAAAACCAGGCGACGTCGCGAATGCATCTGCACGCGCGATGCCAGACCGCATCCGCGACTGAACCCGCCACGTGAGTGTCTCTCTCACGTGTGGCTATGGTGATTTTCCCCGCCTGTTGTATTTTACGCGCTGCGAAACAGATTTTTCGCGCAGGTATACATTTGGTAACTGCGTTTTGGGCCGTTGCGCGCCGTTCGGTTTCTCACATCTTGACAGTCGGCGTTCCGCTTGTGTGCTACGTGCGAACGGGGACACAAATTCTGGTGTTTACGAATTCGGAGTCGTTTCATGGATCTGTACCCGGGTTCGTAAAATCGTGTCCCAAACCCCGAAATGAACTATTTGGACCCGCCCTCAGCACTGTTGCATGTGCCCCAGCTTGGGCCGTCAGTTGTCGGCGTGGCCCCACATTCTAGCGTGGCTTTCAAGGCGCTCCATGCCGTGGCACTGCCACCTCTCCCGCCGTCTGTCGTAGCCCGCCCTCACCCACCTCACTAGCGACGACTCCACCTTGCGCCGTGCCCACCGCGCTTGCCGGTGGGTCTGATCCCCTCCCCGTGCCTTGCGACTAGCGCCATGGCGGGAGAACCCGCCTCTTCCGCCATCGCGCCTCCACGGCGCGACGAGGGGGGAAATACCAGCGCCGCCTCCGCCACGCCGGAAGCCGCCTCCTCCTCTCCGCAGGCATCGGCGGCACCAGGTGCGCCAGGTGTGGCAGCCGGGGAAACGACAGCGGCGGAAGCGGCGGCGGCGGCGGAAGAGGTGGTGCCGTCGCTGCTGCTGCCGGCGGAGTTGGCGGAGGCGATGGAGCACCCGGACCTGGCGGCCATGCGCAGCCTCATGGAGGAGACGCCCGAGGAGGAGGTCACGTGGCTGCGGGTAAGCGTGCACCACCCGTGGCGCGGGGAGGCTCCGTGCTGTGCCTCCTGAGATGGGCGGGGGCTCTGGGCGCTGTGAGGAAGAGCACGCTGACGTCAGATAGGCACATGCCCGCTAGAGAGCGAGAGTAGGGTCAGGGGTTATGGGCCAAGGCTAGGGTTGCGGGTTTAAGGATTAGCTGGGCGTGAGATGGCACGGCGTAGCGCAGCTCCTCGTTCCTTCCCCCCCGATCTCACTCTCCTCCCTCCTTATTCCACCGCTGCGTGCTCCTCCTTTTCCTCGCCCATTCCGACCTTCCCTGCGTGCATTCCTCCTTTCCTCTCGCCCCCCCTCCCCCCCTCTCCCCTCCCCCTGCGCGCTCCGTCCGCCGTGGAACAGGAACCAGGTGCGCGCAGGTGGGGCAAGGGGAGGTGGTGGGGAGCATGGGGACGCGTGGATGAGAGTAGAAGCGTCATGGGCATACGCCCCCACCTTCTCACTGCTGCGCACACCCTCTACAATTCCTCCCCACACACTCACCCACCTCCACAATCCGGCAGACCCCCCTCCCCCCCCAACTTTCTTTCCCCTTTCTCCCCCCCAAAACACCCCCATTTGTGGACGTGCTTTGTAGGAGCAAGGCAACATAGCCCTGAAGGAGGGGCAGGAGCAGGGGCGCAAGGGGCAGCGGCGGCAGCAGCGGCAAGCGTACCTCAAGGCGGTGGACCTGTACTCGCAAGCCATCACCACGCGCCAACAGCATCCCGACGCGGACATCCCCGGCAGTGTGGCGGCCATGCTGCACGGCAACCGCGCGCAGGCGCACCTGCTGCTGGGCAACTATGGGCGTGCGCTCGCTGACGCCACGGAGTCCGCCAGGCTGGACGCCACCAACGCCAAGGTGAGTGCCGCGCATGGCAGTGCTGCGTGCCCATGGCCTCGAGCTGATTCGAGTGGCTGGGGGGCCAGCCAGAAAGGCGGAGGGCCCATCCTCCCTGCACGTGTGTGCGTCTCTCGCCCCCGCCCCCTGCATAGTTGCCCTCGTCTCCTTCTCCTGACAGGGCACCAGCGCCCTGCTTCGCTCCACTCTCTCCACCAACGGCTTGGCCATTCCTCCCACATGACCCTGCTGCCGTGATTTTTTGCATGCACCGCCCCTGATTTCTCATCTTCTTTCCCCTCCTTAGCATCACTCCTCCTGGGCCATATCCTGCCCCCCTCTCTCCTCCGCCCCCCTTCCCAGGCGCCCTTCAGAGCGGCCAAGGCGTGTGTGGCGTTGCAGCGCTACGCGGAGGCCATGGCGTGGTGCGACACCGCGCTCGCCCTGCCCAGCGTTGCGCCCGCCGACCTGCTCAAGCTGAAGGCGGACGCGCAGAGCAAGCTGGCGGCACAGCAGGCCGTGGCGGCGCGCAGCACCGCCATCCGCAGCAAGGCGGAGCGCCTGGCGCGGTGCATGAGGGAGTGCGGGGTGCGCATGGGGCGCGCGGCGTACAAGGAGCTCAGCGGCGAGCGCAAGGTGTGGGTGGACGAGGCAGGCACGCTGCACTGGCCTGTGGTGCTGGTGTACCCCGAGGCCATGGCCAGCGACCTCATTGAGGACGTGTGCCACACCGACTCGCTGGGCGCGCACGTGCGCGAGATGTTCGGCCCACACGCGCCGCCACTGGAGTGGGACAGGGAGCAGGCGTACAGCGCAGACTCGGTGCAACTGTTCCTGCGCACCAGCGCCGTGCCGCCCCTGCCGGGCAATGCACTGGTGCGCGCTCTGCTGGAGGACGCTGCAGGGCTGACGGACGAGGACAGCCACGCCATGGCGGGGGGTGCGGACGACGAAGGGGATGATGCGCCTGATTGGTCGGGTGAGGCGACGGCGAGGTTGCTTCTTTGTTTCGTATCACCCTTGCTGCTTCCCTGCAGCGTCCTCCAACTCCCCCCCCTTTCTTCCTTCATTCCCCTTCTCCTCCCCCCTCGCTGCCTCTTATCCCTCCCCTCCCCTTTTGTCTCTCCTGCTTTATTGCCGCCCTTCCCTCCAGCACCCCCCCTCGTCTGCTGTCTCCTCTGTCTCACTGTTTGTGCCTCTTGACCGTCCTCGCTCCCATGGCCCCCCGCCACCCCGCGCACCCGCGGTGTGCCGTGCGTGCAGCATCGGGCGAGCAGCAGTGGGTGCGCGTGCCTCTCAATGAGCCGCTCGCCAGAGTCCTCACGCTGCCCAACCACGTCGTTCCAGGTGTCCCTGGTGAGTACCTGCTGCTTCTCTCATTTTTTGTGTGAGAGTGCCCTTCACCCCCTCACCTGCTGCTGCCTCCTGCTTGACATTCTATGCATGTCTTCGTACCATTCCTGTGCCTTCAAATTATCAGATGTAAGTCTCCAGAGCAGCTTTTGCTTCCCCCCCTCCCCTCCCTCTTTCCCCTGCAACATTACTCTTCCTTATGCACAACTCGCTTCCTGCCAGTGTTTCATGTGGTGTCAACAAAAAGTCCCTTCTACTTCACTTTCACATCCGGCCAGTGGGTTCCACCCTAGCAGATTCATCCGCAATTGCCAACTGGCCAATACATTCTTTACGTGCCATTAGTGATGCTGGTACAAATGGGCACGTATCCATTGTGGACGTCTCCTCCTGAGCCTACGAATAATCTGAGCATAAATTGAATTAGGAGTTGGCCTTATGCCCTTCAGAGCTTGCAATGGTGAAAGCAACAAATATGATAATTTTTTAACACTCGCAGTGTTTTTCAAAAATTGTGTATTGTGAAAGCGAAGCTGATTGTACTAAAGCGTTGGGCTGGGCATCGTCGAAGCGCGCTACTCGCCCTTCTCCAACTTCATATACGTGGGTTGGAGCTCATTTACCTCCACCCACGTCTCTCATTTTTCAAACGGCTCAGTCAACTTTCCCGCTCTAGCTTTTCTCCTGTTCAAGCTGGCTAAGACTAGAACTTTGCCTCGCGGCAAGTCTCCCTCAACTCTTCTTTCCGATATTTTTAAGTTTTACCGATCCGTCATAGCTCCGACTACGAATAATCGCGGCGAGTCCAACGTCGTAACCGGCCACCCCAATTCCGAGTCTACTCGCCAAGCCCCAGAAATTGCGGCCGACCGGCGGAACAAGCGTCGGGCAAAAGAAGGGGCGGCTGCCCCAACTGGGGTTGACGTTCTGCTGGGAGGGGGCGAGGTCAACAATCAGCCTGCTGACGCGCCCCCGCCCCCTTCCGAGCCACACGCGCAAGTGGCTGAGCAGAGCCAGCCACTCGCGCCTGACGCCGAGCAGCAGCACGCGCCAGCCCCGCAAGTGGCGGGTCCCTTCTGGGGGTGCAGGTGTGGAGGGTTCGGGAGGTAGCCGTCGCGCAGCTTGTGGCCCTGGTGTTGGTGTTGTGTCGCCGCAGCAGCAGTCCCCGCCCGTGTCCGCCCTCCGTCTGCTCGGCCTTCCGTCTCCTGACCCTGCGCCTGTTCCTCTCCTGCCGTCTCCCCCTCTTCCCGTCTACGGCCCCGTGTTCCCTCTGCCAGACTCGTCCCCGGCTCGTCTTCCCCCTCGTTCCCCTCCTGTGTCCCCTCCTCTGTCTCCTGACCCGACGCCGCCCTCACACGTCTGGTCTCGCCGCCCCTCTCGTGCTCGTCCTGTCTCCCCTGTCCCGCGCTCTCACCCTATGTTGCTCCGTTCCCACGCGTCTCGACCTCCCCTCCTCCCGTCTCCTCCTCCGTCTTCTCTTGTCGTTGCGTCTCCTCCTCTGTCCGACTCCTTTCGTGCCGCTCGTCCTCTTGTTCCTCGGGTCCTTGCCTCTCTCGTTACCGACCCGTCTGTTCCAGTGTCGAGTCTTGACGCCCTCGTCGCTGCGGTCGCTGACTTCGCCTCTACCCGCCGCCTTGACTACGCCACCGCTCTGGTCTCTCACCCTGCCTGTCCTCCGTCTGTCGGGGGTGCTCCTGCCCTCGGCAGTGACGTCCTGGAGGACCGCCAGTTTGAGCTTGCTTTCCTGTCCGAGGCTGCTCCCCATCTCTGTTCCATGCTGCTAGTCCCTGAGGGTGACCCAGACGCTTTTGACATCCCGACCCCTCGTACTTACGCTGAGGCGGTTTCGGGACCCTGGGCCTCTCAGTGGATAGCTGCCATGGAGCAGGAGATGGCATCTTGGAGATCCACCGGCACCTTCGTCGACGCAGTTCCCCCACCTGGGGTGAACGTGGTCGATGGCCGTTGGCTCTTCAAGGTGAAGCGCCCTCCTGGAGAGCCGCCTGTGTTCAAGGCGCGCTACGTGGCTAGAGGCTTCAGTCAGCGCGAGGGGGTGGACTTCTTTCAGACTTTCGCTCCTACCCCGAAGATGACTACTCTTCGGGTGCTGCTACACGTAGCGGCTCAGCGTGACTACGAGCTTCACTCCCTCGACTTCTCCACTGCCTTTCTTCAGGGCAGCCTTCACGAGCAGGTCTACCTGCGTCGCCCTCAGGGCTTTACTGGCACCTTCCCCCCTGGGACCCAGTGGCTTCTGCGGCGGCCAGTCTACGGCCTGCGCCAGGCGCCTCGTGAGTGGCACGACACTTTGCGTGCTACCCTTGCTGACCTGCAGTTCTTTCCGTCCTCTGCAGACCCCTCGCTCTTCGTTCGTGCTGGCTCGACTCCGTTCTACATCCTCGTCTACGTAGACGACCTGGTCTTTGCCACTGCTGACAGGGACGCACTGGCCTCCGTGAAGGCAGAGCTGCTGAAGAGACACACCTGCACTGACCTTGGAGAGCTGCGCCGTTACCTTGGCTTGCAGATCTCCAGGGACAGAGCCGCGCGCACCATCACCCTGACTCAGTCACACTTGGTGCGCCAGGTCCTTCAGAGGTTCGGCCTTCAGTTCTCCTCCGCACAGCCCACCCCTCTTCCTCTGGACCACAGACTCTCCGCTCCAGTTCCTGAGGAGTCGGTAGATCCCAGTGGTCCTTACGCTGAGCTAGTGGGTTGCCTCATGTACCTGATGACTTGCACTCGCCCAGATCTCGCATACCCTCTCAGCATCCTGGCTCGTTTCGTGGCCACAGGCAGGCACCGACCTCAGCACTGGTCTGCCGCTAAGAGGGTTTTGCGTTATCTTGCAAGTACATCGGGCATGGGGTTAGTGCTAGGCGGACGCAGGCCAGTGGTCCTTACTGGACACACAGACGCTTCTTGGGCAGACGACGCCGAGACGCTCAGGTCTTCCCAGGGCTACTGCTTTAGCCTTGGTTCAGGTGCTGTCTCGTGGAGAGCTACCCGCTCTTCGTCTGTTGCCCAGTCCAGCTGTGAGGCCGAGATCTACGCCGGTGCCATGGCGGCACAGGAGCTCCGCTGGCTGACCTTCTTGCTCACTGACTTAGGTGAGCGGCCTAGCTCTGCCCCGGTCCTGTACGCTGACAACAGGGCCATGATCCTCCTGTGTCAGGAGCCTCGACTCGAGGGCAGAGCGAAGCACATCCAGCTGCGGTACTTCCTCCTGCGTGAGCTACAGCAGCGTCGCCAGGCTCGCGTAGTACACTTAGCCTCCGGTGCCAACACAGCTGATATCTTTACGAAGGCGCTTGCGCCTAAAGATCATCAGCGGCACTGTGTACAGCTTGGTCTGGTTCCTGTAGTCTCTCACTTACTCGGGCCTTGACTCTGTACTGTCCTATATATCTGTGTGTACACTCAGACTGGACTTGTGTCCTCTTACAGTGGTTGGACTAGTAGTGCCGCCCTGTACTAGTTCTTGCCTTGCCTGTACTCCTTCTGACTGGTCTTTTAGACCCTTGTCTCAGAGGCTGGACTAGTAGTGCCACCCTGAGCTGCTTGTCTAGAACATTCCCCTATGCAGTCCAGGGGGTGTGTCAAACATGTTTAGTTATCATGCTTGTATAGACTGTATAGGGTCATCTTCTAGAGAGTACAACAGTTAGGTATATGTTTGTGTACTCTCTCTCTCTATTCATTAATTTCACTGTTTAATATATACCCTTGTACTGTTTTCTCTCGACATTCGATTCTACGTTAAGATGGTATCACGCTTGGTAGGTAGGTCCCGCCGCCCACGCTTCCGCCCTAGGCCCTCGTCGCGCCGCCCCTAGCTAGTCGTGCCCAGGGCTTTAGAAGTCATAACAAAATGCCCTGAACTGCTGTATATCAGGGTGTTTTTTTAGGGTCGTCTTGTTTTTTCAGCTTTTGATTTTTCCTAGGCCTGAATTTTAGGGGTTGTCATTTGAGCAGGCTTGAAATATTGTATGTTCTTGTTTTGGTCACCCTGAATTATCAGCCTTAACGGATTTCCAGCCTGAAACAGAATCCTATCTGGCTGGTCGAGGCGAGCTGGAGCAACTGTGAGGAGCGTAACTTGTCCTTCGCCAAAATAACGCAGGTGACGCAAGCTGGTTCACATGTGAGGGGCGTGATTGGTCCTAAGCCAAAATCACAGTGGCAGTTTGACGCGAGCTGGAGCAGGTGTGAGGGGCGTGACTGGACCTTAGGCAAAATCACGCAGGTAACGCGAGTTGGAGCAGATGTGAGGGGCGTGATTGGTCCTTCGCCAAAATCACGCACGCAGTCTGACGCGAGTTGGAGGAGGTGTGAGGGGTGTGACTGGTCCTTGGCCAAAATCACGCTAGTAGTGAGAGAATTTGTACGTACGCAGTGAAGTCCGATCTGATCTAAGGATCAGAAACCTAAAAAATGTACCTGATGAGTCACGCTTATTATTATTTTTTAGGTTGACAAAACATGCCCTCTCTAACATAATGTGCTAGGTTAAAATCCTACCCTTTCTAAAAAATCGCCAAGTTTCAACCCGTCATCTCAGCTCTGAAAAAATTCAGTCCTGATTTTTCAGCCTTCGAAATTTTTTTCCCTGAAAAAAAAGTGCAACTTCCAAAACCCAACCCTGAAAAACGAGGGCTCCTTCTGGGGGCACCCTGAGCCTACAGCCCCTCAAAATCCAATCTGAAGCCCTGGTCGTGCCCGTTCCTAGCCGGCCCCCTGAGCCGTTGCGCCCGTCCTAGTCAGCCCCCTGAGCCGTCGCGCCCGTCCTAGCCGGCCCCCTGAGCCGTCGCGCCCGTCCTAGCTGGCCTCCGGAGCCGTCGCGTCCGTCCTAGCCCACCCCCCAGAGCCATCGCGCCCGTCCTAGACGGCCCCCTGAGCCGTCGCGCCCGCTCCCAGCCGGCCCCCTGAGTCGTCGCGCCCGTCCTAGCTGGCCCTCTGGGCCGTCGTGCCAGTTCCTAGCCGGCCCCCTGAGCCGTCGCACCCGTCCTAGCCGCCCCCCCCCCTGCGCCGTTCGCGCCCGTCCTAACCGGCCCCCTGCGCCGTTGGCGCCCGTCCTAACCGGCCCCCTGAGCCGCCAGAGCCGTCGCGCCCGTCCTAGACGCCCCCCCCCCCCCCCCCCCCTCTGAGCCGTCGCGCCCGCTCCTGGTCCCCCCCCCCCCCCCCCCCTCTGAGCCGTCGCGCCCGCTCCTGGTCCCCCCCCCCCTGAGTCATCGTGCCCGTCCCTAGGCAGCCCCTCGCGCCCTCGTCGTGCTCGCTCCGTACCGGCCCCTTGCGCCTGCCCCTTGTCGGCCCCGAGCCCTCTCCTAACCGGCCCCTTCACGCCCGATCCGCGGCGGCCCCGCGTTCCTTTCGCCGCCGCCCACCTCAGACTCGTGCCCAACTCGTCCTTCCCGACCAGCACCGCACTGCACCGCCCGGGACCGCTCTACACCGCACTGTACTGCACAGCATCGCACTACGCCGCGTTGTACCGCTCTGCACCGCACTGCACCG